CTTTGTTAAAGAGTGCTTTTGACACACTTCTTTACAACCTTGGTCTTCATGTGGGGATTTTTTTACACATATCAGTGGTAGCTCTGTATGCATTCCCTAGAAAATATTAAAATAAACAATTTCCAGTGACTCACTTTGACATTCAAGGTCTACCTGTATGTCTAGGGATGCCATGATAGCAATGTACTTGTGCAGGATAGAGGTAAGGGCACAGTTTTACGCCAGTGTACGATAGTGAGCATTTGGTTATAGATAGAAGAGCCCAGGTGATTGCACAATGCCCTTCAGCGGACACGAGCATGGAGATTCCTTGCATCAGTTGGGATATTACAGGAAAGGGAAGGTTATTTGTGAAGTGAAAACAAATGTGAGTTGAGTTTATAGGCACGATTGCACAATTTACTGACCCTCCTTTCAAAGAACCTATTTTACTACACTCAAAGTAAACTGAAGATGAGGAGCTTCCTGTTTTTATTCATTGACCTGTGACATCTTCCCCTTCTCGGTTAACCTCACCTGAACTACATTAGGATACTGATGAAATAAATCTGGTTTAGATGTAGAATTTCTTCTCTGAAACTATCTTGTATGAGTAAACAAATTTCTAGCTGTTTCTCAATATATTATCCAATCTTAACATTACACTCACCCTGGGAAGTTTAAAAATATATCTTCATTAAAGAATGTGTAGCCTTGTCGTTGTAGAACATTTATTGGTCAATTGAATATTTGTCCACAAACCTCAGACATCAGCAAATTGTATTTGAGGAAGATTCAAAATGTGATATTGTAATTCCATCTTGATCTCTCGCTGCAAATAAAAAAGAAAGAAGAATGAATTGTTTATAGAAAAAACTGTCTCAGAAATAACATTCACAAGTCGTATCTTTTTAACTGTTACACTACGATTATTGTTAATATAATGCTGTTTAAGCAAAAGAAACAGCGTGCAGGTTAATGATGTAAACTTGCCTTTAGCTTGACAATCCACCGATTATACAAAGACACAAACATTAGGGGAGGAAATATTCCAAAACATGGACCGTACGGAGTGTCTAACATAGCTGAAGGAAGTTTCTGAAAAGAGAAGTTATTGGATATTTCAAATCGTTTTGAAAAGTATGATCCTGTCATTGACTTACCGCAAAAACGGAAGTTGCTTTCTTCGAGAAGGCGGAAGATGGCGAGAAGGGGCGTGCCGTTGTGAAAAAGGTTGTCTTCCGTTTGTGCACACGTCGCGCTCTCTCGCCTCCAGAGCAACCAGCAGCAGCAGCAGCACGTTGAAGTTCGTTCTCTGCAGTGATTGGCTTCTTCTTCAGCGCCAAACTGAAGCACTGAGGATGTTTAATTTTTTAAAGTTAGCCAGCGTGATGCAAGTGTTTTTTTTCGTCCTTGAGCGTTTTGTAGCACGTGAGTAATCAGAGGAAAGTACTGTAGATCTATTACCATTCAAATTATTACGTTTTATTTCTAATCTGTTAGCGCACTGGTTTAATGTTCCGAGGAGCTCACTCGGCACAGAGACAGAACTGAACTGGCTCATAAAGAAACAGTAGGTTGGTTTGAAAGCTGAAACAATACTTATTGTGCTCTTACATCCAAAATGTATATGGGGGGGGTGTTTGTGGATCAGGATAAACTATGGAATGAAAATATTAACGGATATCACGATTACAATTATTGTTGATAATGTATTTCTGTGAAATGTGTGCAGGGGCACTTGTGTTATATGATCTAAGAACATTCAAGCGATGCACTCGAATTGGTGACGTTCTTGGTTGCAGCTGCTGCGCTTTGTAATGACAGCCGCGGCGCTCAGTGATAGACAGTCTAACATGGTACCGAGTCGAATTAGAGACAGAACATGTTGCAAGTGCGGGTATCCCTCGTATCTCACCCGTTTCTCCTGTGTCTCGACATGTCTTCCTGACTCTTCCCAAAGCGCAACCAGCGCTCCGACATTTAAAGTCGGGATACCTAAATTTTCATTGCTGTTAACGATGCATGTGGATGTCGCAAAACACAAAGGTCATTTAGTTTTTATTTTTGCATATTGAGAGCCTCGTGAGTCATACTTGCTTTTTGGGTGAGGAGTGGAATAAAAAAAAAAAGAAAGAATAGAAAAATCCACATGGTTACTATGCCAAACTCTTGTTAACTCATTGTCTTGAGAATACTATGTAATTTAGAATTGGCAAAGTTATATAAAATGATTTGCAATTCATGTAGATGAATGTTGTTTTGGATTGTCTATACATTTTTATATAATTTAGAACAAATGCCACCGCCACAAAAAAAAGATAAAAAGATATCAGGAGCGTTACACAGATTGGAAAGTAAGTAAGAGAAGCACAAGTAATAGCAAATTATGAAATTGTGATGATTAATTACAGTTATCATACATTGAAATCAACACCAAGATGGAACAATTATAGGGAATGTTGAGGTGAAGAACAGGCCCTTCAGTGCAGCAGGTGTGGTTGGAATTTTGTAGTCTGCATGGGATCTATGAATTGTTTTTAGAGATTGATCGTAATGGCAAACAAATGTAGTGGAGCTACTCACTGTAGATTTAATTCAATATTTTCTCCTTGTTTTTATTTAGTATAGGAAATTGAAGATCGGCATGATTTATTCAAGTATGAGAGCAGTTCTGAACTGATAGAGCTCAGGTGGGGCTATTATGTAGATTTGGATTCGGTTTAAGCTCAGTATAGAGATGAAGCAAACAAAATCAGAAGCTCGATCCAATTGATTTTGTTTTAACTATTAGGAAAAAATCTTTACTGTTTCATTTTGTCTACAGCTGAGTTTGTATAGAAGGCAAAACATTTGCAAATATTGTGTGTGATTACACACAAAATTGGGGTGGGGAGAGAAATTGGACCCGTGTATTGTAAATGGGTAGAACTCGGTAGTAGTGAATGCCACAAGTTGGAACCAAAACCTTCACCATTGCGACTCAGGTATTAAGACTGGGCAACCTGTTTAGCTTTACGTTGCGGACGCACACATGTGGCGCAGAACTAAAAAAGGTCTGGGTTATGACTCTCAAATCATTAATGACAAAACAAAGGACTAAAACGAGGAACTATATCGGGATGCATTTGAACAATTTGAGACAGCAGATAAAAGTTCAGTGTGATGCAGAATATTATACGTGAATCGTTCTTACAGTGTCTCATTTCGTGTGAATCGGTGGGCTCTTTCTGCTCCAACTATCTCAAAGTCTATCTCAGTCATATTCAAACCCTTGGAAGTTCTTTGCTCTAAATCTCTGAGCGACCCTTCCTTCTCTGACACACTTTCTACGTCCTCGCACACGCCAAACCTGATTAAACGCAGCCTGTGATTTGGATCTCCATGACGTAGTGGTCCTGGCTCTCTCTGACCTCCACCCAGACGTATGTGCAATGACGCATCCCCGGGCGTGTGCTGGGTCTAAAATCTAAAATGTCTTCACGTTTTTTGCTTCTCTCCCTCCCTCCCACCTCCCTCCCAGTCCTAAACCAGTGTGTAGCTGTTGTCTTGTTTATTTTCTTGACTTTTGGCCAGAATGTGATGAGTCTGAGGCGTTTTTGGAGCTGGGAGGAGGGGGCCATTGACCACATGTTGACGAGAGGGGTGTAGCCGCTGGAAACACGTCTAGTAAACATTAGGCTGACGCAGACCGGGTTTATATACAGCACAGGGCAGAGCAGACCTGTTTGTTTCACTTCCAGGAGGTTGTGTACATACCAAGAGGCAGATATCGCAAACTGTCTTCTTCCTCCTTCGTGGAATCGAGTCTCTTTGTTTTCTCGAAAGCATAAAGTGCAGGAACATGAGGTCATTGTGATGGAACACGTTAGAACTGGGGACATTCTTAAATGCTAAGAATGCTAATGCTAATTACTCTGCTCTCTTTCTACTCTCTCTCTGATCTCTCTCTGGTCTCTCTCTGGTCTCTCTCTGGTCTCTCTCTGGTCTCTCTCTGATCTCTCTCTGGTCTCTCTCTGGTCTCTCTCTGGTCTCTCTCTGGTCTCTCTCTGGTCGCTCTCTGGTCTCTCTCTAGTCTCTCTCTGGTCTCTCTCTGGTCTCTCTCTGGTCTCTCTCTGGTCTCTCTATGGCCTCTTTCTTGTCAATCTCTCTGGTCTCTCTCTGGCCTCTCTCTGGTCTCTCTCTCTGGTCTCTCTCTGGTCTCTCCCTGGTCTCTCTCTGGTCTCTCTCTGGCCTCTCTCTGGTCTCTCCCTGGTCTCTATGGCTTCTCTCAGAACTTTATGAATAAAATGTCTCTAAAATAGTCATAAACAGCTGGAATTCTTGCATTCAAGCCTCTCCTGAACAGATTCTTCTGAAAGCTGTGGTTCAGTCTCGTCCTGAGGAAAGAAGTGACCCACATCTGGAATGTACAAGGACTGAGTCTGACTCTGGACTAAAACACAGCTATTATCTCTGTTTGGACACTTTTCTATGCTCTAGATTAGATCCTGAGAGTCCAAATGACGTAGTTCATAATACTTAGAGGTATTTTCCAAAACTTTTGAACAAAACTCTTATTGGACGAGCTCGTATAACCAGAACGATAGACGACTGGGAGGACCAATAGTCTTGATGATCCACCCGGAAGAAGAACATCTGCCTATATCTTTAAGTTTACTGTACCTGGTTCAAGATGTGTCTGACAATATTTTATTTTAGTTTTCTTAAATACAAGCCAAAGTAGCATGAATTTATAAGTTTATTGTCATTTTCCAGACATATATTGAATCCAGTAAAATATTCCCAGCCACTTAGCACATGTCATCTTGTCAGAAACACCTTTATGTTTGAGTCTAGTTTGAGAATTCCCCACAAGGACAACAATATGTCAAACAAATGGACTATTGTTGATTCTTTTACACATTCTTTCAGACATATTTACCCAAACCTGCTCTTCAGTTTCATCTAACCGCAGACCACAGTGTTGTCGTTCCGAGGCCATCGCTGCGAGGGTTCCCATGTTTCTGATGATAAGTGAAATGAGATCTCTCCGGATCAGGCCAGACTCGGACGTGTTCCAGCTTCGGCCTGATGTGCAAAGATGGATCCCGGTTCACAGAGGTCGAGTATCGGCCGAGCAGGTGCTGGAGCGGAGTTTATACTTTCAAAGTCAAGTTGTGTTTGGAGGTTTTTGTGAGGACAGAGTCATGGGAACGAAGGAGAGAAAGGGCTGTGTGCACTTTGCCTTGGCTTTGTCGTTACTGGAGGATTGGAAAGAGTCGGAGGTGGTGTGCTAGAACCCTGAAGGAGAAGAGGAAGTTTGTGGATCTCTCTGTCTGAATTATGGACCTTTGAGGACTTTTTGACACTTTTCTCTGCAGACCTCAGCACAAGACGAACGACCACCTTCAGGTAGATCTTACTCCATGAACACACTCTTTGCTACATCTGCTGTTCGGACTCTAAAGCTGGGAATACACTGCGATATTCTCCTCAAACTCACACCATACAAGAGAGAAACTCCATCAGACGTTTATCACGTCAGGGAGGAGCAGGAGAGGTCTTGAGAATTGTCTTGCAGTGCCTTAACTTCTCTCTCTGTATGTATTTATTGTCATTTTTAACTATGTTTTTATCTTATGGCAAGGTATTTAAATCTAAACCTGAAATTTTCTTTCAATATGAAGCTTGAAATTGTCTTATTTATGTATTTCTAGTTCATGCATGATTCTTTTGTTTGATCCATTTGTTGATGAAGGCAAAAGAATCATTCGCCCAAATCTGCATTGTTTACATTCAGGGACTCGAGCTGTCAACCCTCTCAGATTCCACACCAGCCTCATGTTTTCAGAGACGTCTAAAACAACAGCCACAAAACACTTTCTGATCACAAACTACTCTGTGTTTATGTGAACGATGTGAACGACATGTGAGGTTTGGGGATGAGTGATGTCACCACAGAGTTAAAGTTAAAGTCCACTGGCAACAGACCAGAGCTCTGCAAAGGCACACAATCAAAACAAAACACCAGGAGCCAAGCAACACACACACACACATGCACACACGCACACGCACACACACGCACACACACACACACACACACACACACACACACACACACACATAGAAACTAGCAATTCAAATCCAAACATGTTGCTGATGTTGTTGGGGTGACGTACTTTACAATGGAAAATATTTGAAAAAAGCAAACTGAATCTGTCACTGTCCAGAGACCTTTTTGAAGAAGTCATTTTTGTGCAGCTTGTTTTTGTGATGAGGAGAATCAGAGGAGCCAGAGCCCAGTGAATACAGGAGGACAGAGAGGACTGGTCCCACCTCTGCAGACCAGGAGGACAGAGAGGACTGGTCCCACCTCTGCAGACCAGGAGGACAGAGAGGACTGGTCCCACCTCTGCAGACCAGGAGGACAGAGAGGACTGGTCCCACCTCTGCAGACCAGGAGGACAGAGAGGACTGGTCCCACCTCTGCAGACCAGGAGGACAGAGAGGACTGGTCCCACCTCTGCAGACCAGGAGGACAGAGAGGACTGGTCCCACCTCTGCAGACCAGGAGGACAGAGAGGACTGTTCCCACCTCTGCAGACCAGGAGGACAGAGAGGACTGGTCCCACCTCTGCAGACCAGGAGGACAGAGAGGACTGGTCCCACCTCTGCAGACCAGGAGGACAGAGAGGACTGTTCCCACCTCTGCAGACCAGGAGGACAGAGAGGACTGGTCCCACCTCTGCAGACCAGGAGGACAGAGAGGACTGGTCCCACCTCTGCAGACCAGGAGGACAGAGAGGACTGTTCCCACCTCTGCAGACCAGGAGGACAGAGAGGACTGGTCCCACCTCTGCAGACCAGGAGGACAGAGAGGACTGGTCCCACCTCTGCAGACCAGGAGGACAGAGAGGACTGTTCCCACCTCTGCAGACCAGGAGGACAGAGAGGAGAAGCAGGACAAGGGGATCATGGCAGAGAGAGAGGAAGAGGAGAACAAGAAGGTCATGGCAGAGAGAGAGGACAAGGAGGATAACAAGTCTATGCCAGAGAGAGAAGACAGAGAGGACGGCCCCAGCGACGCCTCCAGCTCAGCCGCGGTCAAGAGACGCAAAGGTGCTCTGATCCAGAAAAGCATCCATGAAGTCAAAGATCACAAGTTCATTGCACGGGGATTCAAGTACCCGACTCTCTGCAGCCACTGCTCGGACCTCATCTTCGGCTTTGGGACCCCCGGGTTCCAATGCAAAGTGTTCTGCGTGGTGGTCCACAAGAGGTGCCACGAGATGATCCTGTTCTCCTGCCCCGGAGCAGACACCGGGCCCGACACCGACGACCCGAGAATGAGGCACAAGTTCAACATCCACACCTTCATCAGCTCCACGTTCTGCGACCACTGCGGCTCGCTGCTCTTCGGCCTCCTGCACCAAGGCATGAAGTGTGAGTCCTGTGACATGAACGTCCACAACAAGTGTGTCTCCAACGTGCCCAATCTGTGTGGGACCGACCGCACCGAGAGCAGAGGCCGGCTCTACCTCACCGCCGAGGTCAAAGGCGATAAACTGCAGGTCAAAGTCGGCGAGGGCAAGAACCTGATCCCCATGGACCCCAACGGACTCTCGGACCCATACGTCAAACTCATGCTCATTCCCAGCCACGCCAACGACAGCAAGAAAAAGACAAAGACCATTCGCTGCACCCTCAACCCCACCTGGAACGAGACTTTTACGTTCCAGCTGAAGCCGTCAGATAAAGAGCGGAGGCTGTCTGTACAGGTTTGGGACTGGGACCGGATCTCCAGGAACGACTTCATGGGATCTTTCTCTTTCGGAGTCTCGGAGCTGATGAAGTCCCCGGTCTCAGGCTGGTTTAAGTTACTGTGCCAAGTGGAGGGCGAGTTCTTCAACGTCCCGATCTTAGTGGGCAGCGACGGGAACGAGGACCTCAGGAAAAGATTTGAGAACGCCAGGCTGGACCCAGGACCGAGGCGTGTTCCACAGAGTGAGACCTCATCCGCCTCGCAGCTACCCGCCACCATCATGAAGTCGGTCAAAATCAGCGACTTTAAATTCCTCGCTCTGCTGGGGAAAGGAAGCTTCGGGAAAGTCATGCTGGTAGAGATGAAGGGTTCGGACCAGCTCTACGCTTTAAAGATCCTGAGGAAGGACGTGCTGTTGCAGAATAATGACGTCTCGTACGCTTTAGTGGAGAAGAGGGTGCTAGCTCTCCAGGAGAAGTCCCCCTTCATCACCCACCTCCACTCCTGCTTCCAAACAGCGGACCGTCTGTACTTTGTGATGGAATACGTCAACGGGGGAGACTTGATGTTCCATATCAACAAAGCGGGGGAGTTCAAGGAACCTCAGGCAGTGTTTTACGCAGCAGAGATCGCGCTCGCCCTCTTCTTCCTCCACGGCAAAGGCGTCATCTACAGAGACCTGAAGCTGGACAACGTCATGCTGGACTCAGAGGGACACGTCAAGATCACAGACTTTGGGATGTGCAAGGACAACATTGTGGACGGACGGACCACGCGCACGCTCTGTGGGACCCCGGACTACATCGCCCCAGAGATGATTGCCCACCAGCCGTACGGGCACTCGGTGGACTGGTGGTCGTACGGAGTCGTGCTCTTTGAAATGCTTGCAGGGATGCCTCCGTTTCTGGAAGAAGACCGAGACGCACTGTTTAAGCTCATCCTGGGGTCTACCATAGTGTACCCGTGGAGTTTCTCTAAAGAGGCAGTGTCTGTTTGCAAAGGCCTGCTGACCAAGGAGCCGGCGGAGCGTCTGGGCTGCGGTCCGGACGGGGAGCAGGACATCCGGGGCCACGTGTTCTTCCGGCGGATCAACTGGATGCGGCTTCAGAACAGAGAGATCCAGCCGCCGTTCAGGCCCAAGGCGTGCGGCCGAGGAGCGGAGAACTTTGATAAGATCTTCACCCGCGTAATGCCATTGCTGACCCCGACGGACGATCGACTCATCGCCAACATCGACCAAGCTCCGTTCGCCGACTTCTCCTTCGTCAACCCTCAGCTCCCCTGTCCCTGAAGAGTCAGACGTTTTCAATAAAGTTGTATTTGAGCACCTGGTGGCCATTGTTCTTGCCCTGGTTCATCTTTCATAGCTTTGAAATGTACTTTAACCCACCTTTATTTGTAGAGGGCTTTTCCCACACACGGTCACACAAAATCCTTCGCAGCCGTATCACAACACTTTACATCAAAAACATTAGAATCACACGGGATTAAACACAACCGTTAAGAACACACAGAATATTCTAGGGTTTGTTTGATATGTTTCGTAACAAAACAACAAATGCAAAATACTATCGACAATGTTTTCCTTCAAAATGAACTGGTGTTGATAGTGACATCATTAATATTGTCTATAGCATATTATTTAGAATGTGTTAATGTGTCATGACAGAACAACTGTATTAGGGTCCTCCATCCTCTGTGTGATTATACAGTTATTAAGCTGCTGTTTTCTGCTTTGGTAAAAAGTAATCTTACTTTTCAGAATCAGAATGTGAGTAACAGGAAGTCACAAACGAGGAAGTTGGCTCTCGGTGCAAACAAGTGAAAGCAGAATAACATCAAATATGCATGAATAAAAATCTACATTATATTACTAATTATATATAGATTATAGATTATTTTACTAAATCGTGGTTCAGGAAATATCAATTCAATTCAAATAACTATTTATCTGTGAGGAACTTCATTTGCAGACAGAGCACCATGAAAACACAGAAGCACAAGATGTAAAATACTAAGAGTTTTTATGCTGCTACTACTGTGAGAAGGGTTAGTCTGGTCTGAGTCTGGTCTCAGTATGAGTCTGGTCTGAGTCTGAGTCTGGTCTTAGTCTGGTCTCAGTCTGAGTCTGGTCTGAGTCTGGTCTGAGTCTGCACTGAGTCTGGTCTCAGTCTGAGTCTGGTCTGAGTCTGGTCTGAGTCTGGTCTCAGTCTGGTCTGAGTCTTGTCTGAATCTGAGTCTGGTCTTAGTCTGGTCTGAGTCTGGTCTCAGTCTGAGGCTGGTCTGAGTCTGGTCTGAGTCTGGTCTGAGTCTGAGTCAGGTCTTAGTCTGGTCTGAGTCTGGTCTCAGTCTGAGTCTGGTCTGAGTCTAAGTCTGGTCTCAGTCTGAGTCTGGTTTGGTCTGAGTCTGGTCTGAGTCTGGTTTGAGTCTGCATGGTCTCAGTCTGAGTCTGGTTTGGTCTGAGTCTGGTCTGAGTCTGGTCTCAGTCTGAGTCTGGTCTGAGTCTGGTTTGAGTCTGGTCTGAGTCTGGTCTGAGTCTGGTCTGAGTCTGGTCTGAGTCTGGTCTGAGTCTGGTTTGAGTCTGGTCTGAGTCTGGTCTGAGTCTGGTCTCAGTCTGGTCTGAGTCTTGTCTGAATCTGGTCTGAGTCTGAGTCTGGTCTGAGTCCTGGTAATGGCACCAGTGCAGGGGCTCTCTGGGAAAGATGTAGAACAAATGTGTAAGTTTGTGCCGGTCTAACGTCTAAAGAGGCAGTTTTAAATATTTAACATATTTATTATTTACATGTCGGTCACAACAGGAAGTAAATATGTTTGTTATGATCTGTGTAACGTAGGGCGACAGTAGCTCAATTGGTAGAGCATTGGCCTTCAGGCCTGAAGGTCATGGGTTCAATTCCAACCTCTACACCTTCTCCACCGACTCCCACTGATGACTGCTGTTGTTGTGTCCTTGGGCAAGACACTTAACCCCACTTTGCCCAAAGCCCCCACTGAAAGATCAAGGCTATGCTCACACTCAGAGAGCAGCCGTCCTCCTGTGGACTCACCACCTGCAGAGGGTCAGTGAGGGGCTGGTGCTATGAGACTTGGGTGGCATCTCTGACTGCCACCCCCCTGACCCAGAAATGGATTAAAGGGAAGAAAATGGATGGATGGATGATCTGTGTCTTTGCTCAGATGTGTTCATTCATCTATGGTTTGTTCTGACGCCACGATTCTAATCTGTAGTTATTATGGTTCTTGGGGAAGCAGTCTGTTCCTGTTGAGACTAATTTAGAGAAGTTTAGAGTTTAGAGTGTCCTGTAGTTTAATGTATAATAAGAAGAACTATGAAGCTACAATTATATATATATATATATAATATAATCAATAATAATACTTTTAGACAAGCTTTGCTTTGGATCAATCTAAAACAGTGGTGTGTAACTGGATGCTCTCAACACTGCCCTCTGCTGGCTGCTGCTGCAAAGACACACACACATGCACACATGCATGCACACACACAGACACATGCACACATGCATGCACACACACACACACACATGCATGCACAGACACACACAGACACATGCACACATGCATGCACACACACACAAAACACACACACACACACACGGACATATATGTAATGTAACAGTTTCAACGTTTTACAATGATCAGACCCAACACATAAACAACTTATTGATTTTAGTTTCCCTTTAACCTGAAGCCGACACTATTAAAGTTTCCATCCAGACTTTTTGGACTAATATGGAGTGAAATTATTCTTAAACATAAATTACATAAAGTGTTTCTTATCTTTCAAAGAATAAAGCTGAATACAAAAACACTTAAACCACAGCTAGGAAACTATTGACTATTCTGAGTGGAGTTTGCATGTTCTCCCCGTGTCTGCGTAGGTTTCCTCCGGGTGCTCCAGTTTCCCCTACTTCTAAAAACATGCACAATAAGTAAAATCCTCCCGCTACGTTAACATTATTCTTTTATTTTAAGAAAACAAGGAAGTATATTTCTAAGAATGGTTTGAAAGACCATAAACATAAGTGTTGTTTTAAATAGTAGTAATAGTGTAAATGTCCAGAGCCTGCTGCTGTTTGTCTAAGACAGTTGGAAGCATTAAAATGTCTAAAGCCGTAGACTTTCACTTTTAATCCTCTGCTGGTCCAGATGTGGCCCACGATCCAATTTGAGCCGCGGAGTTGGGACACATTGAGATTGGCTCTGAGCTGGTAATCTCCCGGTGAAGCAGAGTTTATCGATGCAGTCAGCAGTATTAGCTTCAGTGCAGATGAACACAACACTGTCTGAGCTGGAGACACTTTGAGAGGTCTCCAAAGAGGAAACACCGCCCCCTGCTGGACACAAACAGACCTGCATTTACCTATGGATGCATGTGTATGGCTAAACTAACCCCACGATCACGTCTGTCGTACAAAACGTATTAGAATTTTACGGCTTAATCTTAGTTGTAGGATGTATTCATGATGCCAAAGCGGTAATCTGCTGGTCTAATTTATTAACCAAACTTGTATAGCACATCCACCACTGTATAATACATAGATCTAAGCAAAATCAATATCTTTTTCTATATTTATATACTTTTCTGCGTTTTTTTTTCTTTTTTGGTATTGTTTGTAGATACTGTAAGACTGTGTATGTGCTGCGGCTTCTGTGGATGTCAATGACGGAGGAAGTTTGCCAAGATATTAGGATGTATTAAAAACTCTGGATCATCAGGGTCATTTTAAAGTGTCAGCTGGCATCGTACAGTCAATGAACATTATTTCATGCTGTCACTACCAAAATAATACATATAATAAAATGTATTAGGGAATGAAAAAATATGAGGTTTGAGGCCTCAGTAAACGTCTAGAGCTGTAGACTAAATGAGACAGGGGCGACACATGTTTTATCTGTTTAAGTTCAGTGCCTTTTTGTGCCTCAAGATGTTTACTATTTTTGTGAAGAGAGGAATTAGTGCAGCTGTGAGGTCGCTATCCCTCTTTTCTATGTATACTGAGGCCTCTAAACCTCTTTTCTATGTATACTGAGGCCTCTAAACCTCTTTTCTATGTATACTGAGGCCTCTAACTCTCTTTTCTATGTATACTGAGGCCTCTATCTCTCTTTTTCATGTATACTGAGGCCTCTAACTCTCTTTTCTATGTATACTGAGGCCTCTATCTCTCTTTTTCATGTATACTGAGGCCTCTAACCCTATTTTAATGTATACTGAGGTCTCGAACCCTCTTTTCTATGTATACTGAGGCCTCTAACCCTCTTTTCTATGTATACTGAGGCCTCTAACCCTCTTTTCTATGTATACTGAGGTCTCTAACCCTCTTTTCTATGTATACTGAGGCCTCTAACCCTCTTTTCTATGTATACTGAGGCCTCTAACCCTCTTTTCTATGTATACTGAGGCCTCTAACCCTATTTTCTATGTATACTGAGGTCTCTAACCCTCTTTTCTAAGTATACTGAGGCCTCTAACCCTCTTTTCTATGTATACTGACTGAGGCCTCTAACCCTCTTTTCTATGTATACTGAGGCCTCTAACCCTCTTTCTATGTATACTGAGGTCTCTAAACCTCTTTTCTATATATACTGAGGCCTCTAACCCCCTTTTCTATATATACTGAGGCCTCTAACCCCCTTTTCCATGTATACTGAGGTCTCTAACCCTCTTTTCTATGTATACTGAGGTCTCAAATCCTCTTTTCATGTATACTAAGTAACTTTTGGACCAGAACGAGGCCTGTGTTGTGTGTCGCTCCCAGAGGATTGTGGATGTTCCTCTCTTCGCCCTGAGCTTGTGAGTCCAGATCAGATTGTGGCTTATGTTCTCAGGTCTCTGACTCTGAGCCGGATCTTCGCCGCCTTCGGGCTCTTTATTAAAACTCTACTGAAACTCGGAGTGAATACTTGGACTGATCACTGGCTCCGGTATCGATACATCGCATCGGACTGTTTAAAAACATAACAATATTTAGAGATTTGGTTAAATTTGAATTTAGGTCGAAGCCGGGAGTGGAGTTGGCATGCCGCTCCTGTGCCTGCGTAGGTCTCTCTCTGGTCTCTCTCTGGTCTCTCCCTGGTCTCTCTCTGGTCTCTCTCCCTGGTCTCTCTCTGGTCTCTCTCTCTCTGGTCTCTCTCTGGTCTCTCTCTGGTCTCTCTCTGGTCTCTCTCTGGTCTCTCTCTGGTCTCTCTCCCTGGTCTCTCTCTGGTCTCTCGCTGGTCTCTCTCCCTGGTCTCTCTCCCTGGTCTCTCTCTGGTCTCTCTCTGATCTCTCTCTGGTCTCTCTCTGGTCTCTCTCTGGTCTCTCTGTGGTCTCTCTGTGGTCTCTCTCTGGTCTCTCTCTGGTCTCTCTCTGGTCTCTCTCTGGTCTCTCTCCCTGGTCTCTCTCTGGTCTCTCTCTGGTCTCTCTCTGGTCTCTCTCTGGTCTCTCTCTGGTCTCTCTCCCTGGTCTCTCTCTGGTCTCTCTCTGGTCTCTCTCTGGTCTCTCTCCCTGGTCTCTCTCTGGTTTCTTTCTGATCTCTCTCTGGTTTCTTTCTGATCTCTCTCAGATCTCTCTCAGGTCTCTCTCAAGTCTCTCTTTCTAGTCTCTGCTCTCTCTCTCTCCTTCAAACAATCATACAATAACTCCGCAGCACCTGCCGTTTCCATTCGAACCACCTCCATCATTTAATCCTGAATAAAACTTGTATTGTGTTTGAATAGAAAAGTTATGAAAGCAGCCAACAACAAACAACTGCTTTCATCTCACGCCCGATCAAAGCCCAGTTTCTCCTTCTGTGTGTGACCAATTTCTTCTTCTTCTTCTTCTCGTTACCAGGGCGACCGCGGAATCGTCTGGAGCCAATGGACACCATCTTTGTCAAGCAAGTGAAGGAGGGAGGCCCCGCCCACGGAGCCGGACTCTGCACAGGTCTGACTCTCTGTTTCCCATCTGCAGCTCATTCCAGCGTCTCTCCGTAACCTGCCAAACACTTATGAGTTCATAACAGATGGGCCGTCGTGGGAGGCTGAAAACACTGTAATATTCAAAGTGTTATTGCGACCTCAGCTGATGCCGTGTTTGTAAGGACTTCGTGTTTCGTGCTGGGAGGTAGAGTAGAAACACTGCCAACCAGAGATGAGTCAGAATGAGAGACATCAAAGCACAGGTCGCCGTCAAATACCTGCTGTCTCACTTTTTTGAAGAACTAACAGTACAAAACTTTAATAACATGTGTTCTTTCATCACCTGGACTTTATAGCCCCGTTTCCACCGCCTACTTTTCCTACTTTACCTAGTTTTCCGCCCTACTTGGCCCTAGTCCACTCTGCTCTAGCCTGGTCTTACCACACCATAGTACAAATTACATTTCATACTAAGGTCTGGATACACACACACACACACACATCAAGGCAAGCAGCAAACACCACTTCCACGCTTCTTATAGGCAAAGTGGGTTAAGTGTCTTGCCCAAGGACACAACGACAGCATACATCAGTGTGAGTCGGTGGAGAAGGTCTCGTGGTGGGCTCGAACCCACGACCTTCAGGCTCAAAGGCCAAAGCTCTACCAACTGAGCCACTGTTGCCCCTAGAGGGTTAACATTTGTATTTTTTCACACTTTTTAACACACTGTGATTATTTAAGCTTTGAATTCCTCTTTCCTGGTGTTGTTAAGCACTTGTTTCCGTGTGTATGACCTGTGCCATACAAATAAACAGGGCTGGACTGGCCATCGGGCGTACCGGGCAATGCCAGAAGGGCCGATGCCCATATTTGGGCCGGTCTGTTTGCCTCATACAAAAAACATGTTTGTGAAAAGTGTAAATCCGTTGAGAAATGTTCGAGGGGAGCGCGCGTGTCCGCGGGGCACCTGCTGCATGTACTCGAACGGGATTCCACCACCTCAGCGGCCGCAGTGTTCCGGCATCCAGCGGCTCTGAGCTGGACGCAGGAACCGCTCACGGGGAGCTGCTCACAACACAACACGGTGAGCGTGTAGCCGCAACGTGACCATATACCCAAGACCATAAACGTGCACAGGACCATGCATGTCTTTTCGTAATTTGTGCACCCAATAAATACACCGCTGCAGGAAACAGTCCGCGTCTCCCCTTTCCTCTCGAAGTGCGACTACATTAAAGCTCGGGTACCTAAATTTTCCATTGCATTAAAAGTTCATGTTTGAGCCCAAAAGTAAAATGTTGTGAACAAATTAAACAGATTTAGAGCCAGCAAATGGCTGACATTATGCATTTCAGACTTTTTTGACCAATTCTCATCCCTGTAACAAACAACAGTATTGTCTGTGCCCACCTCCCTCACTCTGAGACATGTTTATTACTCTGTTTAATGTAGACTATTGCACTTTATTTTTTTGTTGAAACTGTAGACATCCTGATCCTCTACAGCAGCCATTCCCAAACTCAGTAACACCGAGGCCCCCTTAAAAATCTGACGGGTCTGCGTGGCCCCCCAAAATAATAACCAAGAAGACAACATTAAGAATAGGCTCTTCTGGTTATTTTATTTTGGGGAAATAGCCTCTGCTACAAACATTGTAATACAAAAATGATTACAGTGGCTTATTCAAGTCAAATAATGAACACAAATATGTTAATATTACAAACAAAACATTATAAATTTAACATTAAATAATTATATATATATTTTTTTTTTTTTATGACCTCCCGCGGCCCCCCTGCAGTACCCTCGCGGCCCACCAGGGGGCCGCGGACCCCACTTTGGGAGACACTGCTCTACAGTATTTGCTTCCACATACTGTATAAACCAGGGGTCGGCAACCTTTAGTGCTCCTCCAGTGGCTCCTGGAGCCTTTTCAAAAATGTCTGAAAATGGAGTGGGAGGGCTATATTTTATTTCTAGTTTGAATGTGGTTTCTGTGGTAGGAAAAACATTCCTAACGTATTTCAATGCTGTAAAAATGTGTATAAGTAATATTCAATTTCAACATTTCTGTACGTAGTGCGTCATATCCTGTGACGCAGCCGCGCGCCAGACGGCCGCTGCTGTAAACAAACCGGCGTGTGCGCATGGATCCCAAAAATAAAAAGAGAAAGAGTCGATAATAAGACTGGACTAAGAACAAGACTGAACATTTGCTTTTATTCAATGAGGAAAGACTGCTTCATGTTTGCGATGTAATAGGAAGTTTTGTTGCAACACGAGGAACAATGAAGCGCTAAATACCGTTCACAGGGATTACGTGAAGGATTCTTTCATACAAAATCCGGAGCACCTTTTTCAGACTTCAAAAACCTCCGCAAAGACTGTGAAAGAAAAGGCCATTAAGGACATTCAGCTCCAGCAAACTTCAGCCTGTGACGTGATCGATATGAGCGGACAGTGCAGGTGTGTGACCTTTGAGCCAAAAAGCAGATTTATTTACTGTATTTCTACAGTTGCATGAAGGCAAAAAAATGGAAGTCAAAGTTAAAGCAGAGTCATCACGTGGTGCGTCATTCTCTCCAGGACATGCTGCAGTGAAAACACACATTTGATAATCATGAATGCTTATTATGTATTTGTAGCCTTTACTTGGTCATTTAGATATTAGGCTAATGTAGCTAATGTAGCTACATTGTGTAACCTTCATATAAGCTTTATACAAGGCTGTTATTTTTTTGCGGCTCCGGACAGATGTTTTTAGGTTTTTTTGTCAAATATGGCTCTTTGAACCTTTTGAGTTGCCAATCCCTGGTATAAACAAACTGTAAAAAACGTGACAAAAACATGCCTGGGCCGGTTAGTTGTCCCAG